TGTTTGTTGGTTAGGATTGGGCCTTTCTAATTATTAATGCAATCTAGAAATTAAATCCTACGGTCGTACCTAGGGTTATTTTTGGGTTAGAGAAATAGCTAACGGTCGTACCTTAGCTATCGAGAAATTAAGGAAGGGTTGGTTGTTTATCGCGTGCATGACAACTATAACTAATCTATTGCTAAATGTTGGAATTATTTCTGCATCAATGATCAGTGCATGAACCATTTCTGATGTGTACCCTTGGCTAGAGTTTCCCCAATCATTTCTTTTAATTAATTATTTTCTGCAGTTAATTTATTTAGTTAGCATTTAATCCAAAACCCCCCATACTTTGGACTCTAGAAGAAACAAATTATCCCCAGTCCCTGTGGATTCGACCCTACTCACCGCTATATACAAAATCTGTATTTTTCTCGAGTAGGTATTTATTATTGCACAGGTTCGGCACCTGTCAAACAGCTACAAGGAAAGGTCAAAACAATCTAGGCATTGGAGTCACAGTTAGAACAACTGCAGGCACCAAGATTGCAGAATGGAAGCTGAAAGAAAGAAGCCTGGGGAACCAAAGCCTGGATGATGCACTAGCTTTAAAGCTAGTCTTGTGTAAAGCTGCGCAATATCAGTGGAGCAGAATCAGGCTCAATTTTGCCAACAAGGAGATGCTGAAACAACTAACAAAAACACAGCCTTTGGGGAGCAGAATGGCTACATTGCTGGAGGATATTGTGAATGTGAAAAGACTGTTTTGCATGTGCTCCTTTTGCTTGAGTAGGGAAGAAAATATGATAGATAGTAGAAAATTAAGTGTTGATGCTTTAGGCATTATTGTGGATGAGGAAAGGAATGTTCCTCAGTGTCTTTGAACACTTTTGTAAAGTTCTCTCGAGCCGTTGCTCGCACTTGTAAATTTTTCCCTTACTATAATGAAATTATCCTATCGTTTCGACAAAAAAAAAAAGTAGAGTATCTAAGAAATAGTTGTCAGAATACAGCCATTTCTCAAGGCTTCCATTGCACATGTATTCAAGCACCAAGGCCCTAAAATCCTGGTTCCAACAACCGCTGATGACCTTCACAAGATTTCGATGGCGAAGGTTCTTCAGGACTTTGCACTCTACATCAAAGCTCTTGAGTACTCCTTCCAATTCCAAATTGAAAGCCTTTACAGCAATAGACCTTCCGTCATTGAGAATCCCCTTGTAAACAGATCCAAAACTCCCAATGCCAAGCAAATTGCTTTCACCGTACCTATCAGTTGCTCGAAGAAGTTCATAGTACGAAACTCTTTCTTGCGTTGGCACCAATACCATGTTTGTTCCTTTAGAATCCTGATATTTCTTCCAATATCTTCTGAAGTGACAGGGTGTTGAAGCCTGTACAATAATAAAATTAAACCTAATTGCTAGTTAAAATGACCAAAACCCAATTCCAAGTACTGGAGCAGGGACTCTAGGTGTGCAATGGGTTACTTGATTCACCCTGTTCCCGAAGAGTTTGCTTGGTCCGATATACCCGAATGGGATGATTTTTTTTCCACAAATAATTATGAATCTGTAAACAGGGCAAGTAGGGTCGTATCCTCAGGGATTGGGTATATTTGTCTCTTAAGAAATCCAAAGTAACACAGGGAGTGATTTTGTAGGAACGACGACAATCAAATAAATGTAAATAAGAAAATAAAAAATAAATAACTAACTAGAAATTAAACAACAATTCACTAAACTCAGAGTAACAATAATTAAAGGCCTAAATTAATTAAAACAAGAAAATAATTAAAAATAAAATAAAGTAGGCAACTAAAAGTCAAATGGCAATTCACTAAAATCAAGGTAATATTAATTAAAGATCTAGCCAAGAAATAACTTCAGCAATGGTTCACCTAATTGATCATCGATGCAAAGGCTATTCCAATTATTTATCAATAAATAGGTTATAACTACCAAGCAAGCGTTGGCAGTCAACCCCTCCTTACTGTGTCGGTGATTAAGGTATGCCCGTTAATCACTGCTCTAATTAGGAAATAATCCTAGGTACGCCCGTAAGATTTAATTCCCCAATCGTCTTACGTATTAGAGGAGCCCTATTCTAATCAAATAACACACTACCAGGGTTATTTCAGATTAGTCCGCGTATCCCCCTGACACAAAGCTAATCGTGCCAGTTGTCACTAATTCAAGGCGATTAAATAATTACGGATTTAATGTCCTAATTAATAATAGATTACCCAATCAATTAATTATCCGGATCCACGACAATCAATTAATTAAATAACCACGAGCATAGCAATCAAGGAATATGCGAATACCAATAAATAAAAGAAAAAATTTAAGTTAAATCGATCTCACAATTTTCAGGCAAACCAAAGCCTTCGTTGTCCCTTGGCTAGAGTGGAGAGATTAGTTCATGTTTGATGCGAAAAACCCACACGAAATTGTAAAGGAAGCAGCGGCCATCAATTGGAAAATGAACGAATTCGTTTCGTTCTATTCGACAGGGAAAGCAAGCTACAAGCTGTAATTGATTGTTTTTGCTTTTCCTGCCATACGAATGGAAAGGAACTACGGCTAGAGCTAAAAGGGAAGAAAAGTCCAAAGCTAAGCTGCAGGGAAAGTCATTCAATTGCTTCCAATTGCTCCTCACATCCGAGGAGACAAAAGCTACCCAAAAACTAGAAAGAAAAGTCAAAGGTGAAGCTAAAGGAAAAAGATGCAGCCGTCCTCCTCGTCCTCTGCCTTTTCTTTTGTTTCTATACTAATAGCTATCTCCTAATCCCTGCTCTGATGCCTCCCTCTTCCTTGTGCGGCGGCCAAAAGAAAAGCGGAAGCTCCCTCCGCTGTCTTCGCGGCAATTACCAAAATGGGCATGAGTTTGTTTCTTTTCCAGAAATGCCCCCTAGGACCATCTCTATTACTTGGGCTTAGGGGTGAGCAAATTCGGTTCTTACCGAATTCATAACCGATTTCAAATTCAATTTGATAATTTGAAATCGGGTATTTGGTAATTTGGTACAAATTCGGTACGTACCAAATTCACCGAATTCTAATATGGTATGAAATAGGTAATGAGATTATGAATTAGGTAATAACCGATTTCGCATTCAAATTCGGTAATTGAAATCGGGTACCGCATTACCGCATTCGAATTACCAAATTGGTATATAAAATTATATAATATATAGATAAATGCTATTTAGTATTAGTATATACTACTAATACTTTATTATATTATATAGGTAAATGCTATTAATAATAATTAGTATATGGTATTATCAATTTATCATCATATCATGTACTTATAATAATAATAATATATAATAATGTACAATATATTATTTTAGTATTTGTTAATTGTTATATGACTATAATAATACCAATATATAGTAATACATAACAATATAAGATAACTATAATACTTATTATTTTATACATGAGTAACATGACTAGAATTAGATAATAATTAACACATATATGTATAATACTAAATATTAAACAATTAACATAATTAGTAATTAAATTTAGATATTGGTAATTTGATACATCATTCATGTTTGAATTATTGAATATTTGAATGCGTAATCTCTAACTTGCAAGTATTAGTGTACTCTACATATTTAACATAAAAATTCATATTATCTATTCACTAATCTTAATTCTTAAGACTTTAAGTATAGATAAGACAACTAAGTAGTTCGCAGTGTAAGTGAATGCATATGAATTGCAAATCAATGTACTAGTGTATTGACTTTCACAATAATATATGTAAGTAAATAAGTTTTATTTTGATTTGAAATAATTTATAAGTTTGTAAGTAATATAACTTATCACTACTCATTGTAATTTGTAAGTTTGTAACTAATATTACTTATTATTAATCATTGTAAATTATAAGTTCATAAATTATCACTAATCATTGTACAGTCTAAGGTTTATTCTAGTTTAAATTAATCACTTTTTATGTGTTCCTTAAATCATAGACTAATGATTTTAGGCATAAGTTATCAAATAAGTTAAAATTCATATTATCTATTTACTAATCTTAAGGCTTTAAGTATAGACAAGACAACTAAGCAGTGTAAGACTGTAAGTGAATGTATGTGAATTGCAAATCAATGTATTAGTGTATTGACTTTCACAATAACATGTGTAAGTAAATAAGTTTTTATTTTGATTTGAAATAAATTATAAGTTTGTAACTAATATAACTTATCACTAATCATTGTAGTTTGTAAGTTTGTAACTAATATTACTTATTATAAATCAGTGTAAATTATAAATTCATTGTAACTACTAACTAATATTGCTTATAATTAATCATTGTAAATTATAAATTCATAAATTATCACCAATCATTGTATAGTCTAAGGTTTATTTTAGTTTAAATTAATCACTTTTTATGTGTTTCTTAAATCATAGACTAAGGATTCTAGGTATAAGTGATCAAATAAATGCCAATTAAACCACAAAATGATTAGAACATAAGTAATGTGTTCAATTATGAATAAATTTAGGGATCAAATCAGTAATAATTTATAAATCATAGATGAATTCGGTTTAACCGAATTCATTACCGTTTTCGAATTTGAAATCGGTTGCGGAATGAATTTGGTTATGCCCAATTCGGAATTGAAAACGGTTTAAATTTTTACAGGTAGAATAACCGAATTCAGTGCACCGAATTACCGAATTTGCACCGAATGCACACCTCTACTTGGGCTCCTTTTCTGCTAAATTGATACTTGTTATCATATTTCCATTCTACTCCCTGAAATAAATGCAAAACAATAAAAGTGAGTAGAATCCAACAATTAATCCACATCAACTCGGGTAATAAGGAAAATTAATAATAAAATTGCAACCTATCATGAAGACAATTGCTAAGGCTGCGACAACCACAGAAGTGATTCCCAGAGGAGCAAATACAAATAGAAGCACCTTTTTTGTTCTGGACCTGTGAATTGAATTAGTTCCTGGGCAAGGCGGCACATGAAACCTGGAATCTCAGCACAATGCCTCATTGAACAGAAAAGATTCTGCAGTAAAGTTCCTAAAGTGACCACCAGAAGGAATTTCACCACTTAAATGGTTATAAGAAACGTCAAGCTCTTTGAGGTCCCGAAGTGCCTCCAATGACTTCGGTATGAAGCCAGAAAGATTGTTGTGCGATAAGTAAAGTCCTTGCAAGCTGAGCATATTGCCAAATGACTCTAGGATAGATCCATGAAATTGGTTTTGGGATAAATTTAAAATCAACAGGTTTTGCAAATCACCTGTGGTGCTGGGAATGTCACCAGAGAATTGATTGGCTGATACGTCTATAGATGTTATAGCTTTCAGATTTCCAACTTCAAGAGGCAAGGAACCATTAAGGGAGTTTGAGGATAAGTTCAACTGCAAGAGATCTTTGAGTTTCCAAAAACTATTAGGTATGGCAGAGACTAAAAAGTTGTTTCCTATTTTAAAATCCCGAAGAGAAGTCATATTACCAAAGCATTCTGGTAAAGACCCAGAAAACTGGTTTGTGGTCAGATATACTAAAGTCAAGCTATGCAAATTGCAAAGGTTATCTAAGGTGTCGTTAAGATTATTATCTTCCACAGCCAAACCTTGCAGGTTTTGTAGATTTTTGAATGCTGTTGGAATACCTCCGGTCAAGTGATTCGATCGTAGATCAAGCAATAGCAAATTGGTCAAGTTGCCAGTTTGACTTGGTATGGTGCCCTTGATTTCACTACTTCCTAAATGCAATATCTGTAGAGAAGCAGAGAGATTCCCAACGGAAGCTGGAAGAAGCCCCTTGAAGGGGTCTCGGCCCAGGTATAAATAATACAAGTTTTTGCATTTTGTCAATGAAGTGATGAAGCTCAGCTCCATAGATGTAGGATCACTTGTTAAATTGTTGCCATACAGAGCTAGAAATTGCAGAAGTCTAAGGTCCCCGAGGGCGTCAGGAATGGAACCAGTGAATCCGTTAACTGAAAGTTCTAGCATTCTTAATTGGGAACAATTTGTAATGGACACTGGTATAACTCCACCAAGGTTATTCCCATCAAGATCTATGGCTAATAACTTGGGCAGTCTGTATCCTAGATCCGGCGGAAGATTTCCTGATAGAAGATTAGATGCAAGGTCAATATTCCGCAATGCTGAGAGGTTGAAGAGCCCAGGGGGAATGGAGCCATTCAAGCCATTAGAAAACAACTCAAGATTCTCGAGTTGGTAAAGGTTACCCATCTCTCGTGGTATTGTACCTGCATACCAGATTCATTTTCAAAGGAAGCATATCTATCATTAGGCTGTAAAATTCTCTGAAGAAACCAGTTATAAATTAAAAAAGAAAAGATGTAAGCGTTTAGTTAACCGATTTCGATTTACTTCAACAAAAAAGATGTATTTACCTGTCACGGAGTTGTTGGCGAAATAGAGTTCAGTAAGCATCGTCAAATTCCCAATTTCTCTTGGAATGCTTCCCGTGATTTGATTCAATTCCAGATTGAGCCCCTGCAGGTTTTGGAGATTGCCTATCTCTCGTGGAATCGTACCTGCCAATCGTACAAGTCGGCAAGCAGCTAACATCAAAAATACCAAAAAAAATGGTAGAGCGAATAATATAAAATGTTTCTCCACATAATAATCGTTCCAATGCAGCACAGAAAGGGGTTAAAAAAAAAAAAAAAAAAAGAGATGGTCCAAGGATCTAAAGTATGTAAATGTAAAAAAGTGGTTAATAATCATTGGATTTATGCTTGTCTAAAGTATGTAAATGTTGTGACAACTTTCTAAGTAGTTACGTCCAGGGAATATAGACCTCTTCAGGAACTTCTTAGTTTGCTTTAGTGGATGTTTTCCGTAGTAAGTAGGAGTATCTGATGAAGTTTATGGACATTCAAATAGATATGACATGAATTCATTTCACCCGAAACTTACTCCAAATATTGCTTGTCGCATGATTGTAAATAGACCATATATAAGTAGTGGTGAGGCTATACATTTACCTGCCAAGTTGTTACTCCCCAATACGAGAAGCTCTAAACCGTACAGATTGCCAATCTCTCGGGGAATTACACCTAACAATTTAACGTAAAGACAAAATTAATCATATTCATTTTAGAGATATATTGAAAACAGTCTTACTTGAAACCGTACATTTTGTGTTTTAAACTTTTGGACGTTGCAGCAGCAGGCTGTCCAAAGAAATTGAAATTTCCCTTACTAATTATTATTCCCTTTGTAGCTTCTCAAACTTTCACTTATACACATTTTTTTAATTTTATATTATAGCAAGAGAAGGATAATTAGGATTTAAAAAAGTAGCGAGGAAAAAAGCAAATTTGAACCTAGACCTTCCAATTTTTGAAAATTTCAACTTTAGCCACTTATAATATTACAACTCTCCTCCGTAAAAGTTTGGAAATAATCTAATTTTCACCATATTCACCTCCATATATGTCTTGCCCTTTCAAGTTTACAATCCTTAGCTTCTTACATCCACATCCGACAGAATGCAAACATGGATTTACTTAAAACAAAGGAACCGTTTCACAAACCTTCCCTAAGGTTTATGACAATTGCAAGCAATACCCTCTAAGTTTGAAAAAGTAAAAACCTTTTTTAGAAATTTGTTTGGGGCTCACTTTGCTGATGTAAACAAAATATTGCTATTGATAATCCTAAATCACCCTTACTTGATTTTCCTCCACAAATACAAAGTTCCTTAATAATTTTGAACTAAAAATACTACTCACATACTTTAAGAAAATTATCTACCAAACCCATTCCTTTTCCCTCAAAATAAAAAATTATTCATGCTGACAGAATTATATAAAAAAAAACTTGGATGCTAGTTCAGTAACACTTTATTGTTTATAGGAATCTAAATTCTTCTCCCTCCCAAATTAATTATGACCATATTGAGAAAGATCTAGGTGATTTTGGTGGCTAAGACGAGATAGAATCTATTGCCGTCGTTCTTCTTCTTTTTTTCTCTATTAAATGATTTTTTAAATTTAACTTCAAATGCATTATTCCCCCCATGGAGCCATTGCATTTCGTTGATCATGTGTATGAATAGTTTTTTTAAAAAATTCATGTATATATTTATTTGATTTCATCTGAACAGTATGAATAGTATATATATATCTTTTGATTTCACTTGAACACGCTTTTCTAATCCTTGTGTCAAACAGGGGAAAAAAACTATTAACCGCGGTTTGACCATGTGAGTGTACAAAGGCAAAGCAAAATTATTACCTGTTAAGTTATTGGTGCTGAGGTATAACTCCTTGAGCTTCTCCAGATTTCCAATTTCTTTAGGTATGTGCCCGCTAAACCTGTTGTTAGACAAGTCTAGCACCTGAAGATGAGAAAACTTGCATAAACTCAATGGTATCTGACCAACTAAGTCATCCCCAGATAGATACAGCTCTCTGAGGACCGAAAGATTTCCCATCTTTTCTGGAATAGTACCTCCCAGGAAATTGTCTCTTAGATTTAAGGTTTCCAGTTTTGACAAGTTAGAGATAGGAGGAGGAATAAAACCACTAAAACCATTGCTGTCCAGAAACAAGAACCGGAGTTCAGGAAAGTGACCAAACCACATTGGAATCTCTCCAGTGAAGTTGTTAGAGGTTAACCTGACGAACCTCAGGCGGCGCAGGTGTGACAACTCTTCGGGCAGACATCCGTGGAAGTAGTTATTTCTCAAATCAAGAGAAACAAGAAAGGAGAGGTTTCCCAAATCCGGAGGTATTGTGCCGGTGAGTCCCATGTTTGAAATATTTAAAGCAGTTACTCTTTGGTGTCGAGAGCTGCACTGGACTCCTATCCAGTCACAGACAGAGGATGCGGCAGCTGTAGAAGACCAGTTTTTTGACAAGAATTCATGCCGTTCTGAAGTGATATGGGCTTTCAGGGCTAAAAGAGCGGATTGATCAGTGCCTAAACTTAATCTTTTCATGGCTGTGCAGCCGGGCATCATTAGATGGTGCAGCAAAACAAGTACTGCAAGAGGGTAGTAGCAGTAAAGTTGTTTCTTCATATCGACCTATATGATCAATGGTCCAAATTGGTGATGGATCTAGGAAATTAGACGCCAATGCATGCAGCATATATATGTCTTAAATGTGGGGATTTTATAGACAGCATAATTGTGTGGACAAATCCCAAAAGTTGGTTAAGATTAAATTAGTTGGGATTAGAGATGTAAACGAATTTAATCAACCTCGACACTCTAGAATTTAAACTTGTTTGTTTACTTTAATGAGTTTGAAATTTTATCCAAATTTGACTTGATATTTATTATGTCAAACTCAAACAAGCTTTTGTCAAATTGAGCTTGAGCTTTGTGCATGTAGGTTGAAAAATCTATAGATAAATTTCAAATTTTATACTACTAATTAAATCAAGTTCAAGATGAGTTGAGTTTGAAAGTTTACTAAATATAACATGCTTTTCATGTTTGGCTTGTTTAGTCACCGAACTTGACTCAAGCCAATTCTTACCAATAGGACTAGATTCAAATATCTAGTAATTTGATTAATCGTTCAATCTAAATTGTGATTAATTAATGTACCAACATTTGACTCATAAGTTACGTTAAAATGAAAAAAAAATACTATATCACCTACTATTTTAGTAACAGTTTCACGTAAGGATCAACGGCTTCAAAAGTTATTGATTTTAGTTTTGTGAGATTATATAGAAATTAAAGCAATATAAGAAGACATAGAATAAACTGTCAATGCCGATATTTTATAGGACAGAAACAGTTGTATTGAAATCCATTCCTAGTAGTATACTACCGTTTCAATATGATATAATTTTTTTTGGGGTACATTGGAAGAGGTCATCATAACCCCTTAAATTGCAACAGAATGAGTAAATGGAACTCCTAACACATCAGCTATCAATAGTTCTGTGTTTCATCAATAATCTGCTGTGTTTAGCTAACCAATCAGCACACACACTAATTTCCCTCCGTCCAAATGCGGTGCAATTGGCACTCCCAATTCCTCTCGCATATGGAGAATGAGATTATGATACGGGGAGGTCTGTCTTTCCTCTTCAATATAATATAATTCTAGGTAAATGATTTGTTCAAACTTATAACATAAATTATTTGTCCAAATATAATAATTTCAACTTCATACAAATTAAATAAATTCATTTAGGATTAAGTAATTAATACCTTTGAAAAAAAAGAATAACTGAGTTTAGTCATAAACGGGTCATATCAGGTCACCACGAGTTGACCCGAAATCGACCTGTTTTCTTTTCGGGTTCATCGGGTTCAACCCGATTCTGACCCGAACTCTCGAAACCTCAACCCAAACCCATTAATTTCGTGTTAGTTTTGTGTCGTGTTTTCAGGTCGTGTCGAAAATTGCCACCCCTACGGAACTCCATTGTGTTGCAACTTCTATCAATCTTTTGGAAAGATATGTGTAAATCTTTTAGCATTTATCTATCTCTCCAAGTTATTCCAACGTTGCCTTTGAAAAAACCATGAACAAAAACCATGAACTAGTCTAAGTCATGAATTTTTTCTGCAATGAATAGCCTTGAGAATTGTGCCATTCAGAAAAAGTGGGACTATTTGTAATTTTGTACACACAATAATTAATCTTGTACGAGTCTTAAGTCATGAATTTCTGGACGTCCTAGTCACTTTTTTTTCTCACCTTCATTAATTTGATGTGGATCTATTCTGCAAGTTTCTGCTAATAATTCTACAACATCTGAGATGTCAATTAACAACCACAAGCACCAAGTCTTCAGCGTGCAAAGGGCGTTGGAAATTTTTGTTAGCCATTCTACAAAATAGGTCAGGATGTATATAAGGCATTTTCAGTTGACTTCTATAATGGCAGAACCAGCCTTTCTCTTTTCCTCTCAACATCGCCAACGATGGGACTTCAAGGGACTTTCGAGTTAGCAATGTCCTTTTTTTCTTTTTCTTTTTTCATTTTTTCAACTCGCAATTAGCTATATGTCTCCAACATTTAATGTGCAATTTTACAATTAAAATAATTGTTACTTGTAGTATGAAAATTATACGTAAACAAACCCAAATACATGCACATTCGAATTAAATCTTCCAAAGTCAATTACGACCAACTTTTAATTAATATCCAAGAGAAAAGAAAATAACAACAAAAACTGCATACTTGTTTATTATTATTAATGTTTAGTTCGATTGGAGATTATTAATGTTTAGTAAGAGCTATGATTCAATTCTCCTTGAATTTTCAACCAACATTCAATTACTAGAATTTAAACAACGAAATATGGAGCACAACCACATATAAATAGTGATATTACCTAGTCAAGGAAAAGTTAGGAGTAAGTATAGTATAAAGTTCTTAAATTGTTATTTGTTTAAGATTAAATTAGTTGGGAATTGGGATTAGACGTGTAAATGACCTTAATCAACCTCGACACTATAGTACTCAAGCTTGTTATTTATCGTGTCAAATCTAAATAAGCTTTTATCAAATTGAGCTCGAAACTTTTATCAAATTGAGCTTGACCCTAGCACGAGTAGGTTAAAATTTTTACATATTATACTAATTTAGTCAAAGTCAATTTGAGTTGAAACTTTATTGAATACATATTTATTATGTTAGAATTATGTAGTATTGTCTCGATTTTTTAATTTACATATGTGTCTTGTTGACATACTTTGAACCATAAACAGTTTGAGAGGGTTGTGAATCGTCACTAACTCTGTGACCTTAGGCCAATTCTATATATATATATATATATATATATATATATATGGTTTACCCGCCGGTTATACCATATATTCTTAACTTGTTTATAACCTTCTTGTGGAAATATATGTAGTGCCGTGTAAATCTTTTACATGTTTTAATGACCATATACAATAGATTTTAGCATTTAGTATCTCTCTAGTTATCCAAAATTAGCCTTATAAAACCTTTTCCGCTGAATTTTTTTTCCTTTTTTGAATAAATTTCCCTTCCTCCGAGTCGAGTCCAATTGACTCCTCTAGTTCCCGGAACTTGGGGATGATCAAGACTGTAGTCTAGACTTTAGCGGGAGATATATACCTGCAGTCCAGTCCAGCGCCAATTAATGTACACTCAATTGACCACCTGAGTTGGACTGCTCCAATTTGGAGCAGGAAATTATTTGCGTAATATAACTGACCGACCAGAAGCAAGCCCACAGGAGACTCACACAACACAGAGGAAACTTTTTCGGCAGGTCCCAAAACTATTCATTTTGTACGGTTTTAATCCCGTAACTATAAATTGCTGTATATAAGCCCTTGATCCAAAAAAAAAAATTTGTTCGGTTTAAGTACTTCATCAATTTTGAGTGTTAAATATAACGGAATTAGGGGCAAAACCAATCAAACAGAAAAATCAACCCACGATTTGATTAAAAACCAACTATATACATATATATATTAAATCAATTAATAAGATGGAGTTTAATGTTTCTTCATTTTCTTTCATCTTTCATCTTCTCTAGTCATAAATCTTTTAGGCTGTTTTCGTGGATTGATTTTTTTGGCTTGGTTGGTATTACCCCTAATTCCGTCATCTCAAACGGCCAAGAAGCTACGACATATCTAACATTCTTCATCAATTTCCCCATGCGAGCCAATTCCTGTTAGGTGTTTATGTGGGATTAAATATTTCTTTACCTTTTTCCAACTGATGTGTTCGTATTTTGATTCCTAATGTTGATATAATTTTGTCTCTTTAACTCAAACTTAATTAGGATATTTCCGCAATGTGTGACATTCAGAAATATAAATGAAAGAATATATATTTGTACACAAACTTGTACTAGTCTAACCGACGAATTTCTGAACCTACTTAATTATCATCAGTTTTCTCGCCTAGCTTTGATGCTGATCTATTCTGCAAGTTTCTGTTAATAATTCTAATCTAACAAATTTCAACATTGTGACATATCAGCAACTTTTCTTTAGAGTGTAAAGACCGTTCCGTATTAGACCGCTTGATATTTAGAACTTTTCTTCCATAAGCTTTTCCTAAGTCAGGATGTACACGGCAAATTCTATCGTTTAAGATTGCCTTTCGATTGATTGAGGTATTTGGCCAAAGATTCAAAATCCTCTCAAATTTCTTTAGTTGTTCGCATTATTTAAGAGATATTTGAATTTGTAAACTATCAATTATTTTAGTATTTAAATATTTTTTTAATAGCTGATGTATTACACCATACCCAAATATCTCTTAATTAAGCAATTTAAATAATTAGACCAATTTAGATGGATTTCAAATTCTTCGTCAAATTTCTTAACCCAAACGAAGGGTTCATTTCAATTGACTTCTGTAGTAGAAGAACCAAATTTTCTTTTCCTCTCAACATCCCTAGCAACAGGACTTCATGGGACTTTCCACTTAGACAATGCCAAGTGAAGTTTACTTCGCTTCAGCGGTTGTTAAGCAATTGTTGGAAGGATATCCTGCAGCCAAAGATTTTCTTGATTAGTGGGACACAATTTTGTTACATCCTAATAATATGATGGGAAAATGACCTGTTTCATCCCTCACATTTCGTAAAAAAATTCTTTTCATCCCTCACATTTAAAACGAAACAAATTGGTCCCTCACATTTAAAAACCCAAGCTTTTACATCCTAGAAATCAACTCTCAGCTGTGAATCAAACCATCTAACAACCCGATTATAAATTTTAGGGGTAGAATTGGTAGATCACTCTCAAAAATATATTTCTAACAAATAAATTAAACAATTAAAAAATCTGAACAGTCCATTCCTCCTTCAAATCCAACAATCCATTTTCACCCCCGCCAAACTCATCCCCGAACACTTCAAAAATTTTCACTCCATTCTCATGTTTAAATACTGTCCTTCCCCAAGCCGCAAATCATCACAATCTTCACGAAATCTCTTTCAGTTCAGGCATTTTCACAAACATATACGACTCAGACTTGAATCTTTCCATCATGGCCGGAACCAAGCAAACAAGGGGAAGAAAACTTTTCATGGAAGGCAACGAAGGGGAAGAAACAGGGC